GCATCTCTTCATAACGCCATACCAGCTGAAGAAATAATTAATTTAATCATATTATACAATATAAACTTTAAAGCTGCACGCTTCCATATGAGTCCCAAAAAAATTTTTTAGACAAAATAAAACTTGAGACAAATGTACTTAGATTTTTTTAGAAAAGTAAAAAAGAATCGAACTTGAAATACTGATATACGTGTTGTTATATGTGCGATAAATAAATGATTTTGCAATATTTATCACCATATTTCAGGGCTGTTTTTGACCTCTGTTTGGTCATTTGTAAAATGCAATGTATAAAGAGTGAGACAAAAAATAGTATTAAAGCACCACACTAAATACCGTATTCTGGTATATATCAGACCAGGAGCTTGTATTATTAAATGCTCAAATCTCGCATTTTCACCTGACAGAATGAACTTTAAAGCATATAATTCATTTCTTCAAACCGAATGATATACGATAATAAATGAAAAATGTAAGAATCAACGAAAAAAAACCCATATTTTTCTACTTTGTGATCATGATTTCTGCAAGCGTCTGTATAAAGGTACTGCTCCAACACTGTATTTAATCCATGTACAAACCACATTCACTTCACAATATTCTACTTTTAAACACATTTTACAAATTTCCATGTAAAATTAGCATAAATCTGGTGGTAGGCTGCTTTAACTTTATAACAACTATAAAAAAAAAAACTCTGAGGTCCAACAGACAAAAAACATTAAATTTCAATATTTACATAAATCAACTGGGGTACTTAATTAAAACAGAAAGATTTGCACACAAAAAATATACTTATTAATATATACTTAAGAAATATACACAGAAATTAATGGAAAATCATAATTTCGTGCTTTTCAAAGCCCGGTTTGAGTGAAAGGCATTGCAACACTTTCATTATGAAAAGAAAAATGTTTGTATAAACATTTGTTTTACATTATCCAATATTACACTATCTGTTTCTGTTTATATCTGAAACCATGTCCAGTGTTTTTATTTCTCTACTTTGGGAATGGTGCCGGTACCAGACTGATTGGGAAAAAATGCGTTATTTTGACTTAAATTGGGAATTTTTTATGCATTTTTTGTGTCGCCTCTACAGAGTAGTGGCGACATATAAGGATCATTTCTCCGTGGTCTGTCTGTCCGTCCGTCTGTCCGTCCGTCACAAAACTTGTCCAGACTACTCCTCATAAACTACTGGTGAAATTTTATTTAAACTTTACAGGAATGATCAGTACCGAGTCTAGTTGTGCTTATTGTCAGCATTTTCCGGTTCAATGATTTTTGTCAGAGTTATGGCCCTTTAATAATTTTTATTTTTAAAGTTTGTCCGGACTACTTCTCTTATACCACTAATGTAATTTCAATAAAAATATTTACAGGATTGATCTGTAGCTCAAGTCCTTGCGCATATTGCACGGGTTTTCCGGTTGAATGAGTTTTGGCCGAGTAATGGCCTTTTGATAACAAGAGCGATCAGTGATCACATGGGTCGCCTCACGATGGCCAATTTCATGTTGGAACAAGTATTGTGACAGACAGACAGACAGACGGACAGTGCACAACTTTACTTGGTACTGATCATTCGTGTAAAGTTTGGATAAAAGTGCACCAGTAATTTATGAGGAGTAGTCCGGACAAGCTTTTGTGTATCTGGCAACACACAGAAAAAACAAGGGCCATAACTCGGCCAAAAATCATTCAACCCGAAAACCCGTGCAATATGCGCAAGGACTTGAGCTACAGATCAATCCTGTAAAGTTTCATTGAAATTGCATAAGTGGTATAAGAGAAGTAGTCCGGACAAACTTTAAAAATATAAATTATTAAAGGGCCATAACTCTGACAAAAATCACTGAACCAAAAAATGCTGACACTGTGCACAACAAGACTTAGTACTGATCATTCCTGTAAAGTTTGGATGAAATTGCACCAGTAGTTTATGAGAAGTAGTCCGGACAAGCTTTTGTGTATCTGGCAACACACAGAAAAAAACACCTTTTTATCAAAGGGCCATAACTCAGCCAAAAATCATTCAACCGAAAAACACGTGCAATATGCGCAAGGACTTGAGCTACAGATCAATCCTGTAAAGTTTTATTGAAATTGCATTTGTGGTATAAGAGAAGTAGTCCGGACAAACTTTAAAAATAAAAATTATTAAAGGGCCATAACTCTGACAAAAATCATTGAACCGGAAAATGCTGACAATATGCACAACTAGACTTGGTACTAATCATTCCTGTAAAGTTTGGATGCAATTGCATCAGTAGTTTATGAATAGTAGTCCGGACAAGGTTTGTGACGGACGGACAGACGGACAGACGGACGTTCCCACTGGACAGTAATTATGTGGCTACTCTATTGTTCTCTCTATTGTTCTTTTTAACCACACAAAAGAAAAAAGCCACATAAAAGCATTACGGAATGAATGACATCAAAGAGAAAGAACAGTTACCTATTGTCCCTCTAGCCACATAATTACTCTCCTGTGAGTGCGGACGGACGGACGGACAGATAGACGACGGAGAAGTGATCCCTATATACTCCGTAGAGGCGACACAAAAAGGTGTTTTTTTCTGTATGTTGCCAGATACACAAAAGCTTGTTCGGACTACTCCTCATAAACTACTGGTGCAATTTTATCCAAACTTTACAGGAATGATCAGTACGAAGTCTAGTTGTGCACTGTCTGTCTGTCTGTCACAAAACTTGTCTCCACTACTCCTCATAAACTACTGGGGCAATTTCATCCTAACTTAACAGGAATTTATGTCGCCACTACTCCGATCACTTCTCCGTCTGTCACAAAACTTGTCCCAACATGAAATTTGCCATCATGAGGCGACACATGTGATCACTGATTGCTTATTAAAGATAGCTAACAGCTTCCACTGTCCAGATAGAATTATTGAGTGATGATTTATATGAATATGTTGAATTTTAATAATTTCAGAGAAATCTCTTGGCCATGTGGAAATTTTGAACAGCCATTTTGGGAATTTAAACATTGGAAATTGAGTATTTAAATGTCTATTTTCTATTTCTAAAACAGTACCGTTTTAGGGTAGTAGTTATATAAAGAAAAAAAACACTGGATTATTGTCGTAGAACTATTTTCATTCCGTATTAACTCCGAGGTTATTATAGATAATAGCCAAGAAAGTTCCAATTGATGATGGCTGAGAGCTAATCCTGTGTGTAGAGATTACTGCGTGGGAGATGGACCATATACATGTACTTACATGTTTTATTTTTATATATATCTAACGAGTCTGCTTTAATTATATTAAGAGCGTATTCTTTATAAACATTTAAAATCTTACGTGTCGTCACACTGTTCGGGTTTAGGTAGACGCTCGCCTTTCTTGAGGCTTACCGGAAGTTGACGGCTCCTCATCTTTGCATATGGCGTTTCACCTGAAAAAAAGAAATTGATCAAGAAATATACAATTTATGATTCAATCAAGGACAATCCTTTGCTGTTATATTTGATACAAATTCGATGGAAAAAGAGTGAAATTTACGAAAACTTGTTGAGATAATTATCTCGGTTTTCATTGAAAACCAAAAAGATTACTACTTATTTACTTGCATAATTTTACTCTATACTGTATGTACATTTTTTCAAATTTACATGTTTTAATTTATTTTTTAATTTTATGCATCAACTATAAGATATACAGTTGACTCTCGGTAACTCGAAATCCAAGGGACTGGACATTTTACTTCGAGAGCAACGGAATTCGAGCAACGTGGATCTGTCGCCATTACGTTGACATTTGTGCCTGATTTAATGTACAAAGAATAGGTTTTCTAATTGTTGATAGTGGCAATGACGCAATATTTAAACGTTAAAATGACGGTTAATCACTTACAACTACAAATTATAAATGAACAAAAATATATTATTCAAAATTTAATATATGTATATAAAAAGTGAAACATAAACACAAGCATTGGTAGAAATGACATGAACGCAAGTTTGTCAGTATTTATCAGTAATGCACATGTTATAATACGCATTCTTGACAATTCATTTACGTTGATAACACACATCAATACCTAGGCTGTTATTTCAGTAACACCTGTCAGACTGGCACAATTAAATTAATAAAATCTTAATTTAGTTATCTAATTGTTAAAACCAATTCAGTCCTGAATCCGATTAAAGCCACTTTTACGACGCGTTAATAATACATGATGACCGGCATTTAAAATTACTATGAAATGTGTGAAACCCGAGTGACAACATCTCACCTTGATGTCGCCGACCTTTGATCAGTCGGCTGTTTTCACACTTCGACTAATTGAGATGAAAATGTGTTGGATTTTAATTGACGGGACCAAATTTTCTTTTCGACTAAACAAGAGTCTCGGTAAGTCAAAATTTGACCTAAGCGGCGTTAAAATACAAAGATAAAGAAGGAAATTTGACGGGACTCTAGAAATTCTTCGACTAACGCGGAATTTTGAGTAAAGCGATTTTGACTTATTGAGAGTCAACTGTATGTACCTAAAGTAAATATTTCCCACAGCACTACCGCATACGACCATATGTCACTTCTTTCTGTGGCATCTTTTGTTGATTTCATGCATTCTGGGGCTACCCATTTTATTGGAATACGCTCCTGAAATGAACATTTCAGAAACTACATTTTAAATATGTCCATTTTTTCATATTTTATTTGTTGTGAACAAGAATGCTACCGTTTAAGTCATGAAGAGGTTTTTAAAACTTTAGAGAAAATGAGTTCGTTTGCATGAATGTGGAAAAAGAATTAACAGTAATTTGAGATCATCTTTGTGAAACTGAAAATTGTATCAAAAAACACGACAAATGATACAGTGGGGCGGTCAATATGTGTAGCTTTTATATCAACAAAGAACATACTGGTGTGGCGTGAATTTTGTAGGACTCCTGAGGAATGTACGATTTTGTGTAACTGCGCATGCGCGGACAGACGGCGATCCAGGTCGTGAAAAACAAACTTTACAAGCCGTGTCAAGATGTCTTTTAGGTTAAATAAGTATATCATGAATGTTTAAACTTTAATAGAGCAGCCCATTCCAAAATCAACATTCAGGAATATAGAATGTGAAATAATATTAGGCGAAAATTATGCTTCATATTTAAATATAAAATTACTTTACATCTAAAATGATCCAATAAATTTCGTGCATATCGCGCTTTCCTCGTAAACATAAAGAGTTTGAAACAAAAGACCTTGTTTGCTTAATAACGCCCATAAAAGTTTTTTACTAGCTTTTCCCTGTGGATGAGTAATTACAAGATAGACTGATGTTTATTGAATAGAGTTCTGTATTTATTAAATCATACAAAAACCAAACAAGATGCAGACGACAAAACTGTATTTACCTGTTTTCCCGCGTCACCATCAGAAGATTCGTCCGGCTGCGGTCCAAATCCACTAATCTTGATCTCGTTTAAGAAATTCAGTAAAATGTTTCTTGCAGCAAGACGTCTATGAACGATCTACATAATATAATATAATTATTGACAAGTTAGCCATTGAATACGATGTGATATTCAACGGCAGATGACATATTGACCGAGGCGATAGCCAGTGAATATGATTTTATAAATAGTTCTGTTGAATACTATTTAGACCAATGAGATTACAGCTATATTTAGATCATATAATAAAATATAATAGTTTATTATTGAATCATCTATAGAAGATTATAAATATATTTGTATTATTTACACCATGGATTTGAATCCTAAAAATCCGAAGAATAAAGACTTTTTTTCCATATTTGATATATTAGGAACATCCAAGAATTTTTAAAGAGCGAAAACTCGTAAAGAAAACCCTTCAAAATATATTTGTTTACTTGGAGTCCTTTATTGCATAATAATCAACCCATACCTTGTGTAGCTTGTTCTAGAAATGACACTTTAATTTTATCACGGTGGTTCCATGATGAGTGCCATAGTATCATATCATTAGTTATAAAGAGTTTTGACAGGTTATATGACTATATATAACCGGCTGTTTGTATATATAACTGAGCCACTACACGAGGGTTATATCGCAAATAACAGTTTAAATTATAATTTTTCAAACATTCTCACCCTATTTTCTATATGCTATGCTTAAAGCCACCTTCAGCTTTTGTAAAAGTTAAATGATTATGTTATTTTTACAGAAACCGTTTCATAACATAGTCAAATCAAAAGCACTAAGGTGAAAAAAAATGAAATTTTCCGCCGATGAAATACACAAACAATAAGGAACCCCCTTGATCTGTCGCCTCTCTATCTGTAAATTAGAAAAGCGGGCGATTCATATCGATTTTCTATATTTAGAAACAAACGTCACTGACACGCTATAAATAGCTTTTGGGACGCTGTTTTAATGAAGGCCTAAAAAACAAAATAAAAGCTGAAGCGCGACTTAATGCCAAAATGTTATGGATTGGAAATTCCAATTGAGTATACTAACTTTATACATTAAAATTCAAATCCCTCCCCCGTACATGGTACACCCCAGCCGGCAGAAATAGGCATTTTTAACTCAATAATAAAGCATTAAACTCTGGCTTTCGAAAGCTGTGTATTGCCACATACCCCTTTACTAGCCAAATATTCCATTCCCTTTGCAACATCAAGACCGAATCTAAACAGGTGTTCTTGTAACTCCATGGTAATCTTGTTTTTGTTTTCCGCAAGATAGTCTTTCAATGTACCATTCTCACAGTACTCATACACAATAAATGGACCCACTACAAAATACAACATGTACTTACTTGTTAGTAAACATACACTACTTTTACATGTTTATAGTTTTTGTATTCATTGTGCGAAGCAGAATGAATACAGAGTTATAAGTACAATCTCAAAAAAAGGTAGGCAGAGTGGATTTGCTGAACAGCATCCATCCGCTTATACGTCCGTGACATAAAGTAGTTCATGATTTGCACTTAAATCGCTTTAAGCATACGCTAAGCGATGACTTATCTGTCCCAATGTTGCAAAAAATTATGTTAAAGTTTTTTCTACCCGAAAATCATGCACTTTATTCATGTTTGACATCTAAAAACATCGATAAAAATTTCCTGTATTTCTACGCTACAAATTATTATTAACGCATGCGCAGACTCACAATAATTTATCGAAGAGAACAACACGTAAGAGAAATTGCTCAGGAAAGAATCAACAACCATCGCACATATTGTAAGTAAATATATTTGAGTTATTGTTTTTTTTCATTGATTATCACTTTATATATTTATTCATTACATAACTTGACGAGTATTTTACGGGAAATTTGAATAAACGGCCAAGTTCAAAAACACTTTGATTGACTCGGCCGCTCGTCATTTTGTCATTTACGTAATAAATAATAATAATAATTCGAAATGAAAGTGTTAGAATGTTTCGATTTGAGACCAACTTATCCACTGATTTTGATCATTGTCATGTTTTTTTGTTGTTTACTCGTGTGTCACGTAACTTGGTCATAACATAAACACAAACACGAGGTTGACCCACTTTTGAGAATTGGCCCATTGTTGACAATAGCGTGAAAGGCGTTTGTTATTATCTATTTCATCACTTTCTTTTCGTTAGAAAATGTGGTTAATGAAATATTAACAAATTTCATTATGTAAGGTTCGCGCCATAAACATGACTCATACCGGAAGTTCCTTTGTTTGTTTACGACCGGAAGTCGCTTATGTTCAAAAATTAAATAAGAATCAAAATTACATGAAGGATTAAAAGTTAGATTGATGTGGTAAATGCTGTACTGGTTGGGGACCATCAAAACCGGACAACCACCAAACCCGGACGGCCCCAAAAATGCTTAATTTAGTATTTTCTTTGATCAGTGGTTGTCAGTCACTTTTTTATCAACAATAAGTGCATGTTTCTTTAAAAATTAAGTAAATAAATTTATTTCAACCTCCGTAAATGGTAATATTTTAATGTCTATTTCAAGAATGTTGACGTTGAAATTTGGGGGTCAAGAAAGCAATGCCTGACCTCATATACCAGCTATAATCATTTGCAGAGTGAATAATAGAATATCCAAAACTTCAGCATTTGTTGCTGACATATTGTATATCATGTTACAAATCAAAAACCAAAACACCCAAGCTTTTATCTGAATTAAATCACATCATGTACATATCTGTCCGGACACATGGTACTGTAGTGTAGACAATTTAGGTAATTTTGATACCCTCCTTGTCGAGCCTAAGATATAAGTGTCAATACAATCAGAAATAAACAAACTAGTTTGTTTGTTAGGAGAAGAACCTAGCTGAACTGTGTCAAATTTTTTGGTCTCTAGGTTAAAAATTATGAAATATGTACGGTAAAATGTTCCAAAAGTGTCCGGTTGATGGTCTCCGACCAGTATAATATTTATTTCCAGGTTGACTGTAACCTTTTTGTCGTGGGTATTGTAGCGGATATTCCTTGTGACGTAAGTAAATCTATATACTGGTAACAATAATTTTTTATTATGAAAATTGCAGAGGCAGTCGGTGTGTGGTTTTGATACATAAAATGATCATGATATCTGCCACTTGCTTGATGCCTAAGTTTAAGTTCAATTTGTTTTATCAACATGTATATTGTTGTATCTAAGCTAGGACAGTCGTCTGTGGTTTATATTAGTAGAGGTGATTCAGCCATCTTTGTTTTTTACTAACTGGGTCTTGCTAAAGTGAAAGTATGCCAAAATTCATACAAGTTTAGATTACCAATATCTACATCATACTGCTTTAAAATTGTTAACGATTACTTTAAGTATACATTAAAGAGCCAGCTATGAAATACAAGGGAATCCAGGAACCAGTATTTAGCTTTTATTGAATAGACCCCTTTGTTCTTTTACATGTCTGGATTTCTGAGTACAGCTCTAGGTAGGTTGGAAACACTAAAAGTGTCTCTAAACAATCCCAAGGGTGTAACCCTATATTAAATCCAGGATCTCGGGAGTGATAATCCTTCACTTCCTAGGGCAACTCTAAAAGAATCCAAATATAGAAGCTACTGCTGTGGTCAAAGTAGCAGAAAATGAGAAATGTACAGAAGGGAGGTAACTCCTGTACCAGAAATTATTGATAAAATTAATATGGCAGATAATCATCGTATGCATTCGCCCTTTAAATATTTTTCTTATTTAAACAAGTAAAATGGTTTTGGATGGTTTTGAAAATGAAATCTCTAAATTGATATTTTCAGGGAAATAAAAGATTATTTACTTTAATATTCACTTGGAAAGGCTGGTACATGTAGCTAGAAAAAGTACAGTATAAGATTAAAGAAAGACCAGAAGATTATTACAAACAACAGGTACTTATATAATATTTAATGTATATTTCACAAACCAAACTGTTTTCCAAAAAAAATGAATGAAAACATGCATTTTTACCAGTGTCACCACGGGTCAGATTAACAGACCCATTCCCAGTGGCAAATAATGCCAAATATGCTTTTTTTCTTTTCCAAGTTTAGAAAAAAATCATAAGTCAAAATTCCGTTATCAAAGGTGACAATTTTTCTTCGTTCCATTTCAATCCAATATGGTACCAGACAGATGATGTTCAAAAACACATTCCATTGTCAATTTTTTATGTATTTTTTATGCTTTGAATGATATACAATTTGTTGGATTAACAACTTTGTACATGGTACTAAATATTTTTCCCAATCAAGATGCAAAATTTCTTAACCCATTACTTCATGAGCATTTTGTGAAAATGGCTGTTTCCATTGAAAAGTCTCCCGTTACAAGTTCAAATTGCTATAATACTATAAAAACTGCTTCAACACTAATCAAACTTGGCACAAATGTTGACTGGACCATTGCCCTTGCAACAACATGCTCCGGCTTAAATTTTCTGTTCCCATGGCAACGAGGGGACATCTCAAAATTGCCCAAAATCACTACTTTGCCTCGATTTTTTCAGTCAAAATTGATTTCAAAGTGATGCCACTTCTCAATGGATTGAGATATAGTCAAATGCTTTTCAGCGTTGGTTACACGTTACCTTATGATCAATCTGGGGTCATTTACAGCCTCTCACAAGTCCAAAATTTTCTTGGCATCATGCTTAGAATGGTTTCACACAGGTCAGTAAGACCGGTGTACACAATGTACTGTCTGCACATATGTGTCAGAAAAAATATCACAAAAAAGGAATTTAGTATTACTATGAGTATTTATTAAAGAAATTGTATTTCAAATATATTTAAATAGTATTATTGAAAGTCATTTTGTATGACAGACACACAAATCTAGTGCTCTGCATTATAAATGTAAGAAGAGACAAATAAGATAAGCATTTTTTTGCAAATTATTGCACTTCATATAATTTTTATTGCTTTTTTTTAAGGTGGACATGTGTCACTGTCAAGCGAATGAAGATAAGCATCACACTCGGTGGGAATCTCCAGTTTCCAGATGTAGTGATCATAACTGTATAGGCACCATTAACACTTTGGACTAGTTGGAGTATTTTAGAGGGCTAGTCTGAATTGAATCCCCTGTCAATAGTAAAGGCCAGTCATGAACATTGTGTTGAAGGAAAATGTTAAAACTCGGATTTTCCGCTTAACCAATCATTACTTTACCTTATATTCAGTGCGGTAATGTAGGAAATGGTTACTTTCTGGAACAGAGCTGTCAATTATTTTTAATTTATTAGCTTGTTAGTGTTATCGTCGGACAGTTGTGAAGTAAAAACATCATAGTTTGACTGTATACAAGTTGCCTTAAAGAAAGTATGTCGAAATCTTAACAGTTATTCGTTGATTTTGTAGAAATTGACTAGAATTCACCTTTGTTAACATGCATCGCTTGGACGTCGAAAACGACATGCAATGACATTTCAGTGAAATTTGGAAACTTGCTCGTATTTTGGAGCATTTTGTAGGATTTCGATGAAGTAAAAAGTGTTTATGATAGGATACATTATTCCTAGAGACAACCATAAAGATAAAATAGTGATCTGGTGTATTTTTACCGAACAGTTCTTGTTTGTTTTGCATGATATTTTTCTCTCGTTAGGGACCTTTATTCTTTATATATAGTATTATGAGCATATATATGGGTAAATGTGGTATATAGTGCCTGTGGTTTTAAAACATGTATCTTAGCTTGCCTGGTGTAATGATAAGTAATAAACCTGAGAATTGAAACTATGAGAATAAATTGTTGTTATTAGTCCCCTTCTATTTTCATTAAGAGGGGACTAAAGGCTGACCCATTTCTGTATGTCAATGAAAGCTGAAAGCTGAATTTTGCTATAACTTAAATGGTACAAAAGTAAGGTTCATCATACTGGTATCTGATATAGAACTATACAGAGATTTAGCATGTTATTATAATTTATGCTCCTATGATTCTGGATAAATATCTGTGTTCATTCCATACAGACTTGTACTTTTGGGGAAAAAGGTTGCTCATGGGAGGAAAATATGTTTTTAATGGTGTTTTTGAGATTTTAGTTGATAAAGGAAAAAAAAAACATAGTCTGTACTTAGGAAGACATTTGTCCTTCACACTCTTGTCCGAAATATGAATATAACTAGATATGTATTGAAGGGATTTTATGTAAACTTCACAAAGTGATAGAGACTTTTAAGAGGAAGTGCAATGTTCAAGAAACATAACTCTACCTTGCTTCATGTTTTAATTATATTCCTTAAGTTAAAAATGCTTATTCCAAACTATCACTGAATCTACATCAACTTGAACGACTCGAATTTTCCAATGTGTCACAGAACCATAACTCCATTCCTTAGTTTTTAGCTCGACTATTCGAAGAATATGAGAGCTATTGTAGTCGCGTCGGCGTCGGCGTCAGCGTCCGCGTCGGCGTCTGCGTTGGTTAAAGTTTTTTGTAAAGTTAAATATCTCAATTATTGCTTGGGATATTCAATTGAAACTTACAATACTTATTTATAGTAACAAGGTACATCAGATTGACAAGTTGGATAACTCTGCCTACAATATTGACAGAATTATGCCCCTTTTTAACTTAGAAATTTTGGTTAAAGTTTTTTGTAAAGTCAAATATCTCAATTATTGCTTGAGATATTCAATTGAAACTTACAATACTTATTTATAGTAACAAGATACATCAGATTGACAAGTTGGATAACTCTGCCTACAATATTGACAGAATTATGCCCCTTTTTAACTTAGAAATTTTGGTTAAAGTTTTTTGTAAAGTCAAATTTCTCAATTATTGCTTGAGATATTCAATTGAAACTTACAATACTTATTTATAGTAACAAGGTCATCAGATTGACAAGTTGGATAACTCTGCCTACAATATTGACAGAATTATGCCCCTTTTTAACTTAGAAATTTTGGTTAAAGTTTTTTTTTAAAGTCAAATATCTCAATTATTGCTTGAGATATTCAATTGAAATTTGAAATACTCTTTTATAGTAACAATGTACATCAGTTTTGCAAAATTGCATAACTCTGCCTGCAATATTTGCAGAATTATTTGCCCCTTTGAAACTTAGAAATTTTGGTTAAAGGTTAAAGGTCTTCAAAGATATTTACTTGAAACTTTACACATGCACTTAGGGTCATAATTGGAGGGTCATAATTGTATGTCACTGACCAAGTTCCATAAACTCTATCTTGCATTAAGGCTGATTCATATCCCCTTTTCTACTTAGTCTCTTGGTTAATGTTTACATGCAAGTTTTACATATCTCAATAACTATTAAAGATATTTATTTAAAACTTCACATATGCATTTAGGGTCATAATTGTAGGTCACTGACAAAGATCCATAATTCTATCTTGCATTTAGGGTGAGTTTTGCTTGTAAGCTGTTGTGTCAATAACTACTGAAGGGTTTGTGCCTTTTTTGGGACAATTTTATGCATTCATAATAATAAAGCAGTGATTTACTTGATAAAACATCTTAATAACAAGCCTTTGTACCTTGTCTGTCAAATTTATGTATTCATAGGTAATTAGTATTATTATACTCAATAAAACACCTTTGTGACATTACCTTCTGAATAGTCAAGCCAATACTGTATAATTATACTCTCTAAGGCCTATAACATAAATTTATAAAAAAAAATTAGCCCTTTTGTGAACTTAAAAAAATTAACATTATAAAGGCTCTTTTACTATCAAGCACTTAGAATAGTCGAGCGTGCTGTCCTACAGACAGCTCTTGTTAGCTCACCTGTCACAAAGTGACAGGTCAAGCTTTTGTGATCCCTTTTCGTCCGGCCGTAAACTTTTACTTTAAATGACATCTGCTCATAAACCACTACGCTAATTTCATCCAAACTTCACAAGAATGTTCCTTTGGCTGTCACCTTTAAAAATTGTGCAAAGAATTTAATTCCATGCAGAACTCTGGTTGCAATGGGAACCGAAAGAAAAAAACTTTAAATATCATCTTTAAAAAAACCCTAAGAGCTAGAGCTTAGATATTTGGCTTGAAACATCCTTTAGTGAGTGTCTACCAAGTTTTTTAAATAAAAGCCCTGGGGTCAAAATTGGCCCCGCCCCAGGGGTCTTTGTTTTTCCCTATGTGCATATAGTAAAAACTTTATAAAATCTCCTTTTAAAGAACCCAAAGAGCTAGAGCTAAGATATTAAGCATGAAACATCATCTAATGAGTGTTTACCAAGTTTGTTCAAATAAAAGGCCCGGGGTCAAAATTGGTCCTGCCCAGGGGGTCATTAATTTTCTTTAAATGCATATAGTAGAAACTTAAAAAAAATCTTCTTTTAAGAAACTAAAAGAGCTAGAGTTAAGATATTTAGCATGAAATATCTTCTAGTGAGTGTTTACAAAGATTGTTAAAATAAAAGCCCTGGGGTCAAAATTGGTCCTGCCCCAGGGGGTCATTAATTTTCTTTAAATGCAAATAGTAAAAACTTAAAAAATCTTCTTTTAAAGAACCCAAAGAGCTAGAGCTAAGATATTTAGCATGAACATCTTCTAATGAGTGTCTACCAAGTTTGTTCAAATAAAAGCCCCGGGGTCAAAATTGGCCCTGCCCCAGGGGATCATTGATTTTTCCCTATATGCATATAGTAAAAACTTCAAAAATCTTTTTTAAAGAACCCAAAAAGCTAGAGTTTTTATTATAAGTTGAAACATCTTCTAGTGAGTGTCTACAAAGTTTGTTCAAATAAAAGCCCTGGGGTCAAAACTGGCCCTGCTCCAGGGTTGTCATTGTTTTTAACAGTATGTGTTAGTAAAAACTTAAAAAATCTTCTTTAAAAAACCCAATAAACTAGAGCTTTGATGTTTAGCATGAATCATCTTCTTATGGATGTCTTCCAAGTTTGTTCAAATAAAAGCCCTTGGGTTAAAACTGGCCCTGCAGGGTGGGGGGGGGGTGCTTTTTATGAATGGAATCAAGAGAGATGAAGTCTAAAATGTGATACTGTCAATGTGACTAACCTTGAAGTAAACAGATGACACAATGTTTTTTCAATGTCATGGGCATATAATGAAGAGGTACATGATTATTTGTTTACACTTTTCCTTAATAAATACTTTCTAAATGTTTGACATGTTTAAAGGCCAACACAGGGCTCAAGGTTTATTTAAAATCTGTAAGCTTGGCACTTAGAGCCAATTGTATATTAATTATTTCAATATCTTTATTTATCATTATGCAATCTGTTGTTAATTTAGGAACAAAAGTCGATAGCAAAAACATTTTAGCCGTGTCATGACGAAACCAACATAATGGGCATCCGCCCAGTCTGATCAGGATCCATACTGTTCGCTATCAGTTTCTCTACTTGTAATAAGGTTTGTAAGCGAACAGCATGGATCCTGATCAGACTAACCTGGTCTGGATCCATGCTGGTCGCAAACCCATTATGTTGGTTTTGTCATGACACGGCTCATTTGTGACATGTAATTCACTTAAATTGTATTTTATTTTGTATATATATTTCATCTTCAAAACAATTAAAGTAATGATTATAATAGCATTGATTTCATATTTGTTTGTCTTAATAATTAGCTTTGTTTTAAATATAACAGTGTAGTTTTTATTGTTGGTTTATCTTGTTTAAGATTTGTTTAAACCGAATACCAATCAGTCTATATAATAATTGGAAAGACAGAATATTGCTTGTTTTAGAGTGATATGCTTAATGAATATTCAGCAATAAGTATTTACTGTATAATTACCACTCTGACCTAGGGTAAACAAGATAAGCTGTCATAAAGATGTAAATTTTGTTTAATTTAAGAATTCTATTTATGTTGCTGTTAAAATGCGTATGATACAATTTTATTCCTGTTTTCTGTATATACACACAGTTTTAAGTAATTTATGCTTTGAAATGTCAAAAAATGCAGATACTTTTGTTAAATAAGTCAAATAATAAAAAGAATCAGTTGATAAAAAAACAAGGCCTGATGAAAACCAAAGGCCTGATGACATTTTCTAAAACCATTTCATTAATAATTTTATCGATAACATTTTTTTAAAGTGTTGTATATATATTTACTTGTTTCAGTTCTATTTAAAAAAAACACTATTTTAAAAAAAAAAAAGAACTCTTCTAGGAAGGGATATTTAAGATTTGCAAGAATTAATGTAAGCACATATTTGGACATATACATGTATACTAATGTGAATTTATATTTTTTTTACCCAAGGTGTTAGAAATTTATCATTTTTTGTGGGACCAGACCTCTTAAATGATTGAAAAGTTCATTTGATGCCGGTAAAATTATTGTTTACAAAGCATAATTCAAGATTGTTGTAATATGTAAGCATTATAGTGGTATTATGCCTATCCAATGTTACTTGATGAACATTCAAATATTATTTTTCATCAAATTCTTTTTCAAAGGCTAGGGTTGGATAACAATTAAGTGGGAAAAGTTTTACAATGCTTCATACTTAATAAATTTCTTCACTTTCACTCAATATATTTGTTATTATTCATCCTTAGTCATTTCATTATACAATCTTTTAATGACATATATACAGGTAATGCAACTATTATTGCAAGGGAATAAGCATAATACCTCTAACATGCATTTGTACTTTATTTTGTATATATATTTCATCTTCAAAACAATTAAAGTAATGATTATAATAGCATTGATTTCATATTTGTTTGTCTTAATAATTAGCTTTGTTTTAAATATAACAGTGTAGTTTTTATTGTTGGTTTATCTTGTTTAAGATTTGTTTAAAACCGATTACCAATCAGTCTATATAATAATTGGAAAGACAGAATATTGCTTGTTTTAGAGTGATATGCTTAATGAATATTCAGCAATAAGTATTTACTGTATAATTACCACTCTGACCTAGGGTAAACAAGATAAGCTGTCATAAAGATGTAAATTTTGTTTAATTTAAGAATTCTATTTATGTTGCTGTTAAAATGCGTATGATACAATTTTATTCCTGTTTTCTGTATATACACACAGTTTTAAGTAATTTATGCTTTGAAATGTCAAAAATGCAGATACTTTTGTTAAATAAGTCAAATAATAAAAAGAATCAGTTGATAAAAAAACAAGGCCTGATGAAAACCAAAGGCCTGATGACATTTTCTAAAACCATTTCATTAATAATTTTATCGATAACATTTTTTTAAAGTGTTGTATATATATTTACTTGTTTCAGTTCTATTTAAAAAAAACACTATTTTAAAAAAAAAGAACTCTTCTAGGAAGGGATATTTAAGATTTGCAAGAATTAATGTAAGCACATATTTGGACATATACATGTATACTAATGTGAATTTATATTTTTTTTACCC